TTGTTTAGATGAGCTCCCCCCACAGCATGATGCTTCCACCACCATTTTTTTCTATAGGGATGCTCCCTGGGTTTAGGCCAACATATATAATTCCTGTTATTTCTGACAATAGTAATGTTATCCACATGTTTGGTATCAGTTTTTTAGATTTTAGCTTTTAATTTGACTTAATTTTCTCCTGATGATTCTGCACAACTTTGTGTTGGCCTATCACTTAAACTACAATAAAAAGCTGTAGCTTTTAATTGTAGTTTGATTAAATACAGGAAAAGATTTCTCACAAATGAGCCAGTTGCATATGCAATCTATTCCTGATGTGTGTGTCTGTGGTGTGTATGTGTATATGGGGCTAATTTATAACTCTGTAACCTCTGACCCCAAAGAGAAATAAAATGATGAATGAAGGATCGCTGCTGAGCTGTCACGTCTCTTCAATGCTCCGTTCTAATCACAGACGCAACACACACACCTGGCTGCAGGACTTCGGTTTCCATCGCAACAGTGCTGCTATGAAGGGAGTTGCCAAGGAAACAGAAGAGAGCAGTGAGCCTCGGCGAAGGATGGGAAACAAATGCTAAAATAATCAGTGGAGGCAGGAGTTTTTATGCACAGCACATGTTTGTCTTTAATACAAAATTAACAAGATCTGTCAGTAGAGTGCACTAACCAAAGCAATAAAACACCTTGGAAAAATAGACACCACGTTCACACAAACATCTTTTTTTTTAAACAATATTCCAGTTAAATTAGTGCAGGTTGATTATCGTTAATATGTTGTGTTTTGCAGATAAATTATTCGTTGTGCCATTTTAATCCCTCCCCGCCAAAAAAATAAAGTGCATTTCACATTTGACAGTTACGTCTACACAAGATGCTCTAACTGTGACTTCAACCCCATCGCTATCTTCAAAACAAACAAAAAAAACACTTTCACGCTGACACACACATTTACAGGCCCTTGAGTGTTTTGATATTTAGCTCTAAAATAGTAACCATCACAAAGAAAGGACACCTCGTCCTGCTGGTCCAACAGCTTGCCACTGATATAAAACAACTTTGTTTACATCTTTGTGCATTATTACAAAATAAATTGCATTAAACAGATAAACAGGTGTGATAAAAAAAATTACACCCAACCTTTTAGTCTGTCACCTTTCCTGGATACAAAGCCCTTGTTCAAATGCTCAGCAATAAAAGATTTCTCAATTGAGTTGCAACAAGAAATTCATATTCCCCTATTTTCTGTCAGTTTGCTTCCTAAACATTGTGCCCCGTCAGAGTCCAAGCATGACGAAGCAAAGTCAAAAATAAAATCATCTGCATATCGAAGGGAGGAAATCAATCCAAACATCTACAGATAAAATGGTGAAACTGCGCTCCTCCTGTCAGACGGACTAGCTTTGGTAGCACCATGCATGGTGGTAAGAAGTCCCCCTCCTTTTCAGCAGGCCGTATTTACAGAGACAAAACTCAAGAGGAGGAGTTTTATAGATACTACATTCAGAGAAAGGCTTTACAGCGCGACATCAAACAGCTGAAAGGAGCAAAAAGCTTCTGAGACACTATGACAAGAAGATAAATGTTGATTATGTGCCAGTCTGACCTGCATTGTCTTGCAAAAACATCCAGCAGTGCTCATTTAGTTGTGATTTAACCACAAATTTCAATGCGTTTTTTTGGGATTTTACATGACAAAGCATTAGGAAGTAGAAGAAAAATGATGCACAGCATTTTGTAAATCCTTTATTGTCCCACATTGGGGAAATTCACTCTGTGCATTTAACCCATCCCCTTTTGGGAGCAGTGGGATGCCACGGTCTTGCTCAGGGAGCCAGAGTGGCAGTCCGTGGGAGTGTATGGGACTCGAACTCAGCACTAAGTCATCGCTCCCCTTTTCCCTTCAGGAGGGAGAAAATCACCATGACAGAAAATACAGCACATCATACACGGTGGAGGCAGTGTCATGATGTGCCCCAGACAAGTAAGCCCATCAAAACTGATGGGAAGAGGGGGAGAGCTAAATGGAGGCGAACCTGTTGGCTGCAGACTTTGGGTTGGTCTAAACTGCAGCCGTTTGTTGCTGTCAGTAAAACAATGAAGTTAAAGACTGAAGACTTTAATACAAAATAAGGCCTTTTATAAACAATGGAGCTCATTCAAAATCTTTTTTAAATAGTGCTACACAGAGTATCGTTTTATAACTGACTTTTAAAAATATAGTGGAGGTTTTTTGTGAATTTTTGACCCGCCCTCTCCACTTAAAAAAAAAGGGCACATAAATAACTGTGCCCGCTCCCGAGAGGGAACGCCTATTAAACGCGTGTGAGAGCATGCATGATTCCATTTCTCCTTGAGCACGCTCTGTTTAAAAGTTGCTGTTTGCATCGCTCGTACAAGCTTACTTTCCAAAAAAAGAATGCCAATTTTTTCACTATGTTGGCATCACCACTGGTGTGTGAAAATGGGGAGGAGCACGTAGGACGGCCTTACATAAACATATCACCAGAATGATCGACAATTAGGAGGACCACTTATTTTGATGATCCACCTGGAAACAAACATCCTCCATTATACCTTTAAAGTTCACTGGAACAAAAACATCCAACCATGTTTCAAAAGAAGTTAAATACGAAGTCTTTAGTCTTTATTAAATAAAATGCCAATAAACTTGATAAAATCTATGGTGAATACTTTTGCAAGACATGAAGAATCTAAAGTACTGAGCTTGCCACTGCACACATGAACCCTGCAGGGTACATTTCTAGATTAGAAATGTCTTTTATTTTCCAAGCAAATGTTCTGACTTTAAAATATGAAGGCTTGAAGTTGCTGTGCTGTCTCTGAGAGCCTCGGCTTGAGCAAAATTCAAATAAAATGAATACAAACCTAATTTCTGTTTTTGCAAAAAGCCATTTTTAGCTAAAAGGGTAATTCAGAGGTCACTTAAGAGACACCTGTCTCAGCCAGACGGATTTATCAACAAGCGACAGAAGAAAACACGGCAGGATGGGGAATCACAGTTCATTCAGAGTCTGTTTTCCCTTTGGCGTGAAGTGCTGGGGCGCCAAACATCCCGGTCCCATCTACCGCCAAGAAACACGGAACGAGGCCACTTTCCTCAGAACCGACAGGAAGACTGACTGTAAACCTCTAAGGTCAGGGGTGTCAGAAACATATTAGACACATAATACTACACACATGTGCACACACTCAGAACGCCATGCGAATTAGACCTGACACACACACACACACACACACAAAGGAAAGCTTTTTTTTTCTTATTTAACGCCCAGGACACCTTATTCGCTCAGAAAAGGCAGAGGCATTGATCACAGTTCTGCTCCTGGTGTGCCAATGATCATAACTCCGTTCTGGATGAAATGAGGCAGTAGTATTTCCGGGATGAATAAGAAGTTTGATCTGGGTGTGATTGACCCAACCTTCATTCTAGTATCTATCACTTTGGCTCTCAAAGCCCGCCTCCTAACATTGTGTGGTGCTTCGTGGAACGCAGATGTTATTGCTGTCTGAGTATTGCTTTACATCTAAAAAATAACTACCATTCAGGCTAGTTATTGCTGAAATGATGCAGGGGTGCAGAGAACCTACAGACGGTTGGAGACTGTAACTCAGAGCAGCATGGAAGTGATAGGACTGCTCTTCATCACATACAGTACCTTGCAAACAAACTCACACCTCTTGAAGTTTTTCTAGTGTGCAGAGTCTTTATAGGGATTTTACTGGATATAAAATCAGAGTAGTACAGAAATGTGAAGAGAAATAAAAATAATGTTTCTTCAAATTCTTTTACAGATGAACATTTGATTTTTTATGGCTGATTTCTCGTATATCCCTAAATAAAATTTGGTGTCTTCAGAAATCACTTAGTCAGGGTAGATCAAACTACATTTTTTTGTAGTACAAACTCACCATCATTAAAGTGAATCAGGGCAGTAGTAGCATCATACTTTGAGGGAACATAGACAGAGCTAAATAAAAGACAATCCTGCAAGAAAACATATTTTGCACTAGTGTGCAAATTATTTTAAACTAAGGCAGAGCAGCAAGGATCCCAAACAAACCCACGATGACCTGCAGCTGTATTTGCCGTCTAAGATTCTCTTTTGAATACATGCCGCAATAAAAACATGTATATGCATTTTCTTTTGCACTAGTCCTTCTCTGCCACATAAAATCTCAACGACAGCCATTAAAGTCTAATTTTGAAATATGATACATTGGGAAAAACTTTAAAAAATGTGACAACTTTTGCAAGGTATAGTCATGTGAAAAGCAGAACTCAACATTTTTAAACAAAACAGCTCCCATGACCTTTGTGCAACAGTTTCAGCTCTTATGATGCAGAACATGTTCATGAGGTACATAAATAAAATTATTTGGGTCACGATGATGTCAGGCATCCGCAGCACATAGCCTGCAGGGGCCTGCGAGACCTACCCCACTGAACTGTGCTAGATGCATGCAAATCACAGCTAATTCCTTTATTTAAAGAGGCTGTTTAGAGTTGGTTTTGTTGTTTATGACACTCTACACTCAAAATAAGAACACTTAGTAGTAAAAAGGTGGGTTTTGTTTTCAAAAACAGCGCTGATATTTTGTGTATGGGTTGAAGAAATCACAAGAGGCACAAGAACCAGGCTAGACAGCTGGTATAAGCAAATACTGCGAAAATGAACATTTAGAGATGACTGAGCTGCAAGGAGTTTGACCATCTGTTGATTGAGGATAGAAATCATGAAAATAGAGGGAAGAACTAATAATTTTAATAGATGAACTCAGCTAAAGTCCAGGCAGCTGTCTTATTCTTTCTGTGATGTCACCAGAGACAGGTCGGCATGGAGCTTTATTTTGGAAGCTTTCATTTGAATAAAACATTGTGATAAATCAATCTGAGGGTGAAATGCTGTCTTATATAAATGACAAACTAAATCTAAAGGGAGTCCAGTGAGATTTCTGATTTAAAAAACAAGAATCTTACTTTGGATGAGGGGATTTGAAATTAGTGTTTTAATATTTCAAATGTAATAATGAGAAGCATTATGAGATAATCTGATTGGCTTGTTTTTGGTTTGGTATATATAGAAACAGTAATGCAGAAGACTGGTGATGCTATGGCAGGTCTGGTTGGAGCCTTTTCTTCTTTTGGTGCGTTCACGCATCTACAGCCAGAGGAGAGAAAGTGGGGAGGGGGGGTGAGGCAGGGAGAAATACAGGCTAGATTTCTTCCCCGGCGTCTGTGGAGCGGATCAGAGAGCATCAGGTCTATTTTTAGCTCCCCGCGGCTGCTCAGCTTTCGTCGCACGTCCAGAGTGCAGCAGCAACAGAGCAGGACGCTGCTGCAGGCTGCCCCAGACAGGCTTCGACTTTTGCTCAGCCGCTGCACAACAGGATGATCATTCTGATCATGATAACAATTAAAGCTACAGAGCTTTGAGTGTGTGCCTGGTTTAGGTGCACAGTTGCTGCATGGACCACAGGATACACTTTCTGCAGAAATAAGAAAGGGGCGTGCCTGGAGTGGGTGGGATGCAACCCACCTTCTTGGCCTTGAGTAGGGAAGACAGGGAGAAACCGTGGGCTGTTGCATCTCCAGACAGAGCTGCACCCACAGCCCTTTTCTGCTGCCCTCCTTGTGACACCCATGTGTCCATTGAGGAGCAGAGCTAACCCAGGCTGCCTCATGTTGTCCCATCTTGGCCTGCAGCTGTCACACGTCGCTGGGTGTCCGAGCACGGTGCGCCACGCTTGTCGGAATGCAGCCGCAGCACACCAGCCACAACGCTTTCTGGATCTCCTGGTTCCTGAAGGCGTAGATGACCGGGTTGATGACCGAGTTGTAGGTGGCAGGTACCAGTGTGGCGTAAGTATACAATGGAGGGTAGGTGTAGTCAGCAATGAGGGAGTAGACGGTGAAAGGCATCCAGCAGGCTGCAAAGGTCCCCAGGATGATGGCCAAGGTCGACACGCCCTTCCGCGTAGTGACGTAGTGAGGCGTGGCAGCCAGGAAATGGTGCTGGAGGGCAATCTGGTGGGCGTGGCGCATCACGATTTTGCAGATCTGTACATAAAGCTGCAGCATAAGGCCGAACAGCAGCAGGAAGGAGATGGATAGAACTGCGATGTTGTTCTTCGTCAGTGGCCGCACCACACTGCAGGTGGACTGCTCATCCAGACAGTTGACCCCGGTGACTGGCAGCAGGCCGAGACACAGGGAGAGACCCCACAGCAGCAGCAGCATCGTGTAGGTGAAGGCCGCTGTCCGCTCCGAGTTATAGGTCAGGGCGTAGTATAGCGACAGGTAGCGGTCGATGGTGATAGCAAGCAGGCTGAACACGGAGGCAGAGAAGGACGCCACCACCAGACCCACCGTCAGCAACTGGGCTGATTCAGAGCGGAGTAAGTAGGCACAGGTGAAGTGAAGAACCAGGCCTAGGCCGGCCAGCAGGTCTGCCAGAGCCAGGCTGCCGATTAGAAGAAACATGGGAGCTCTGAGCGCAGGGTTCTGCCAGATCACCAGCACTACCAAGGCGTTCTCACAGGCAATGAGAGTCCCTGACGAGCACAGCACGATGTCCCAAGGGTTAACCAGTAGCGGCAGCTGGCTGGGCGGCAGGGGGGAGTCCTCCACTGGGAACATCCCCAAGCTGGTGCTGTTGTCCATCGGTCCCCCGCTGGCCCATTCTGTGGGATCAGGGCTCAACCAGCTCGGGGAGACCGGCGGCTCCTCACTCATTGTGCCCCCCGTCTGAAAATGAAACCCACACACATAAATGATCACAGGCCAAATATTCAGGCCTCATCAGTCAGTAATGATGGAATCTCATAAACATCCAAAGAGAACTGCACTGTTTACCTCTTCATCTCTGCACCTTTTTAATAAGCATACAAAAACATGTGAGCAATTTAGACAAACGCTTGATTCTGTTGGCAAGAAAATGTATTCATTTAAATATTCACACACAAAAGACATTCAGGAGAACTTCACAAGATATCAAGGAAAAGACAGTAAGACAGCAGCAAAACAGTGATGTTTTAGTGCGGATTTAAAGGTTTTAGCAGAATTTCAAACTGTTCTTATACAAAAGGGAGCGATATGATCCTTTTACCTGGTGTTGGTCTTGGAAGAACAGTGTCTCCTGACTGTGACATGATCTACCAATATTTTTCACTGTGGATTTTCAGTTAGGCTTGGATCTATGTTATTCTGTTTTCAACTTTGAAAAAAAGGCACATGCACAACCCTGTACCCACTCCCAAGAGGGAACGCCTATTAAACGCATACAAGATCGTGCACAAGCCCATTTCTCCTGTGCACGCTCTATTTAAAAATTGCTGTTTGCATCGCTCATAAAAGCTTACCTTCCAAAAGAAGATTTGCATTTTTTCCACTATGTCAGACTCGCCACTGGTAAGTGAAAATGGGTACGAGCACGTAGGATGGCCCTACGTAGACATATCACCAGAATGATTGACAATTAGGAGGACCATTTATTTTTATGATCGACACAGAAAACAATCCTCTACTATACCTTAAAGATTTATATAATTTTTGAATTCTTAGTTTCTCTTCAGCATTTTTTGTATTATTTATTCTTTGGTCTATTTTTAGTTAAAGTTATTATTTCTTTTATCCTTCTATGGTTATGTATTCTATGGCTCAGTCCCTTCTCTTATCCTCGAATTTTCATTCCTTATTCTGCAGTCAGTTTTATTCCCATTTAGCCTCAGCTAAGTTCTTTCCTAGCTACAGTTAAATCTGGTTACTCTTTGTTGCCCTCTATTGCCCCTTTTCCTTTCCCCTTAGCTCCTTTCTAGCCGCCTCTGTCAACCCCTGCTCCCAATAAGCTCATTACTCCCTCCACTGTTCTTTCTCCCATATATAGAAGGAGTATATATTGAAATTGATACATATAATCAATCATTGTTTGTGATTCTCTTCATTTCTTCAGGATTGTTTCTCCTGAGTGTCTCCTAGATTTGATTCCTGAGTTCCCTGCCTGTTATTTATGGAATTATGTTTTTGTACCATCTATCTAACCATGAAAACTGCAAGAAACCATCTCTGCCTCCTTTACTCTCCATTTGGTTCCTCTACAAAACTTCACAGAACCTGACAGACTGATCTTCTACAGAGACCAGTCAAGGCATCCCTGCTTTAACATAACCTAAAAAAAATATGCCATAGTTATGCTGTTTTTGGAAGGAAAGCAATCTCCAAAAATACACACATTGATTTAGTTGAGCGCTTATATTGATCCTTACATTTTTGGAACCAAAATAATTACCTGCATTGAACTGGAGGAAATCTTAATCTGGCCAGTCATTAATATTCAAAACATACTGACTCTGTGCGTGTGGTTGACTGGGATACTGCAGTGGCACAGAGGCATGAGGTTGTTGGTTTTTAATCTGAGCTACTGGAATCATATAGGTGAACCTCAATTAATTTTGATCACCCAGATTTGAAATTACCAAATGACACAAAGCAATCTGCATTTACTAAATAAGCTCTAAACCCATTTAATGCGGTACAAGAAAATCCCACAGTAGACAAATGGATCAAACCACCTCCAAAACGGCAGCTCTTGGGAGGTGTTTATAATCTCCAGGGAGCAGCATCTATCAAAAGTGGACCAAGGAAGACCCAGTAATTAACCACAACAATGCATTTTTGGAGAAGAGCCTGACTAGTGCGGTACTAATGCTAATGCAAGATTTTACTGCAGGTTTTATTAGATAATGGCCACAACTTGATTTGTTTTTTAACCAGACGTCTTGACACAGTGAGCCTGACTTACTGAGGTTCATACTAAGCATTAGAATGGGAAAGAAAAAAAAGGCTGACAACAGAGGCCAGAGAAGAATGGTCTAATACAAAGAAAAAGTGGTTCAACATACCACTCATTACAACCAGTCACTATTCTGCACACCATGACTGAATGTCCAATACGCAAAAGTATTAAGAAAATGGGCCAAAGCATAAAACAAAATCAACAGGAACAACATAACGGAAGCTGGGAGTTTAGTGCAAAACAGACTCACCAAAAATGGACAGACTTTGTCTTATGTGTCTTAATTTCAGCTGCAATTGGGTACATTAAGGAGAGACAGAAAAAAATTATGGATCCCCGTGTGCAAAAAAGTTGGGGGTGGAGGGGTTGGACTTTTAGCCTCCATTGGAAAATAAAAAATATCTCCACAGAGTTCCTGAATGTTGTTGCAGATCCTTTGCATTCCTATAGGTAAACAGTGTGCCCATCTTCTGGTGGCAACAGTATATAATAACACAAAGCTTAAATCAGCCCAAACTGCTTTCTTTAAGATGAAAATCATTTCAATGTCTGAAATCAGTCCAATAGGGCAGTGATTCCCAACCGGGGGTACTCATCCCCCTAGTGGTCCGTGAGTGCTTTGCAAGGGGTACATGAAAATATTTTATTTCTCAGGTAGTAAAATAAAATAGGGCTGGGATCTGTTTTGCTTTGTGAGGGCCCAATAAAAAAAATTAACTTAATTAGGCTTTTTATCAACCAAAAGTTTATAATAAGTTTTTCTTATAAGTTTGAGTTCACCAAAACCAAGCAGAGGAGCAGACTGGATGTAGAGAACAGCCTGGTATCAGCTGTTTTTCACACTGAGCAATCAGAGCTCATCAAGCAAGCTTAGGCTTCTTGATGAAAACAAAGTAACACCAAATAAGTCAGTCTGACTACAGTTTTTGTTCTGTATTTTGTTCACAAGTCATCAAGTTTAAATGTGATTATAAAAGAGTTACTCAGAGGAGCTCAAGTTTTATAAATACAGGTTTATAATAGGATTTTATTTTGTATTTATTTCGATTCCTTACTAACGTCCAGGAAACATATTTCTATTTTTCTTTCTTTTGAATTGGAAAACTAAAATGCCAAAGAAAAAACTTTTCAGCTTAAACTTCTCAGCTTAGTAAAATGCTTTTTGTTTTTATAATTAGTTACTGTACGTTCTACTTTTGGACAATCATCAATACTTTTGACTGAGGGGGTTACTCACGGTAAGACAAAATGCCTAAAGCGGTACACAAGTCAAAAAGTTGGGAATCACTGACATAGAGCACATTTAGGATATGGTTAAAAGGGAGCTTAGTTTTGTGTATGAAGACTCAATGAATCTGCAGCAATTCGGCAAACGGCATGCTTTTCTACTCAGACACAACATAACACTTTGTGTTTTTGTTTTATTTTTTGTCAAAAGAAGCAAGGGACACACTGAGTTAGTTTCATTTAACATCTTTAACCTTAAACTAAAATTGACAATATGCCTCAGCTATGGAGTGAATTGTAATGCTTGCCAAAGCACTCTGTCTTCATTCAATATAAATCCATCTACAGACTAAATATAGAACCTATTTGAGTCTCTATATCCAACAGCACTTTCACTACCTGTTAACTATTTACTCTGTGATGACAACAACAAAATGTGCATCAATATCCGCTCATCTATTGCTTTTTATCTAAAGATCATCTTTACATAATTCGAATTTGAAACAAAAAAAAAGTTGTTTATTTTGTTTCATTGTCAGCTATTTCTAATAATATTAATTAAATAATTTAATAGCTTTCTGAATGTTATGCTTTTGTGTTTTTATGTTTTATGAATATTATGCCTATGATGCCTATGCTAATAAAAGATACTGTAAGATTGGGACACAAGATCAGGTTTAATGTTTTTTGATATTTTATTATTTTTACATAAGGTGGTAGTTTTATATTCATTGTTTAACAAATGGAACTCAGGTTTACACTATAGTGAAATTTCTCTTGGGTACAAGTACATTTCTCCACCTGAGATCAATAAAGTCTATCAATCATTTAATCAATGTTTGTTAGTGCTAAAATATTATTTCTTAAAAATGTTTTCCTCCTCGGGCAGTGAGGAACTAACCTGGCAAAAAACAGATCAATCGGTGTTGTTCGATTTGAATTCTACACAGTATCCATCTGGAAAGTCTCCTGTGGAAAATGTTCGCAAAAGGGAGGAACATTCAGTTCAATTCTTTAAGCTGATTGGGTAAATCTCCATGTGTCACCTCCCTCCCATGTTTTAGCCAATCACTGTAGCAGTACCAGCTGTGATGTATCACATTCTTAATTTGTTTTACAACAGCGAGGTTAACTAATAAATTAAACTCTGACTAAATCTGATCAGGAGGAACACGCAAAAATCTTTCCAATCCACAAATGCACAAGTCCTTTTGCTCATTTTTCAAAAGATAAATAGAGGGTCTACAGATATGCTCATCATAGCAGCCATGTTTGTTTTGCTGCAGCCTGTGGTTGACGTCATACACATCAGTGCATTTCAATGGTTAAAGATATTTCTATATTCAAGGCTAATACATCTGTTAGATTCTGTAAAGATGTGTTTTGGGGGGTTTGTGAATACACAAATCTCACGTCAATTAATCTTGCTCACGAGTTAGGCTAGGTGAGGATACTTAACATCACAATACATCTGGCGCCACATTACCAGTACATATAGCAGCCACTGAGAAGCATAACGACCTCTATAACCACCACTGTTCCCAACAACCTCCATTAGTTGCTACATTCATGGTAATTTAAACAGTTTCTACCTTAAACAACATGCTGCTATAATTTTGCACATCTCTGATGTTGCTGCTATTTTCAAATATCCATTACTGTAAAAAAAAAAATCTCTATAGCTGGATATTGGTTAATTATTCTCCAGGTACACGGTTTTTATATTGTTAAAACACTTTACAGTACAGTATTTTATTGTTCATATTTATAGGATATTTTTTATATTCTATAACATTTCATTGTTTATATTTTCAACTCTTCACTATTATGTTATTCCACATTTGTGTGAGCATCTTTTCGCTGCTGTAAACACCAGAATTTCTCCATTGTTGGACCATAAAGGGATTTTCTTTTCTATTCGATTCTATTCTATTCATAATGAATACATCTATTTTGTGAGTTTCAGAAGCTTTGAATCTTTATCATTAGTTAGCTTCAGTGTTTTTTTGTTTTTTTTTACACTAGACACCTCATTTCAATGACATGCAAATAGCAATACAAAAATAGTTCAGGACACAGATCGTCCAAGATCATATAACCTGTTTTTCTTGTCTTGCTTTTTTTGAGCGCTTGTGCCGCCCCTTAAAGTATGGCTCCCTGAGTGGTTGCCCATACAGCCACTGTGAATAATTATTAATACAGTAGGTCCTTTTTGCCTGGTTTTGTCTTTAACGTTTTTCTTTATAGTCAATCAAACAAATGGGTATTGTCCTTGTGCTCAATCGCATGAGCCTAACTATTAGTTTAAGCTTTTATTTATGGATTTGTTTTTAATATTCACTCATTGCTGGGGCAGTCAGGGTTTTCTGCATGTGGTACTGGGTGTTCTCTGGACTTCAGAGATTAAAGCATAGAGCATTCGTGTTAATTATTGGAAATTTAGCAGATTTCCTGTCATTGCTCTTTAAAAAAAAATAACAGCAAAAACAATTACTATAAGAGACAGGCTTGTAGGGCTGCAGTGGGGACATATGTCAGATTGATTGTAAAAGTTATTCCAACAGCGGTCTATTACACTGAAGGGTGCAATTTATAAAATGGGACAATAACTAAAAAAATCAATGCTTTGCATTTTCATCTTGCAATAGTAAATGCTGACAGACATCTATAGCTGATTTCACAAGCAGCCAGAGAACATACCGCACCCGTCATGGAAACCCTGCATGCGCCCCTTCGCACCTTGCTTTGGATAAAATACATATCCTACATTATATCTCCCTCCACAACAGAGACAGTGAAGAAAAGGGGAAAAAATAAATCTTTCCATCCATGCAGAGGATGATCCTTCAGTGGTTTCATGCATTCATCCATCCAGCCTACCTTGGCTCTGTGAGGTGCGACTTTCCGCGTCTAGATGGAAGAAGGACAGCTTTGTTCTCCCATGTTAGGGATGCAGATGATGCAGCGCCGGCGGGCAGAGACGCAGCCCGGGGAAGAGGGAGGAAGAGGGATGGAGATCATGGAAGAAGAGAAAAAAGGGAGAGAGGAGCGCAGCAGCGGCTGGCGGGGCCGTGGACTGTTGATGTGCGGGAAAGGAGCATCAGCAGCAGGGAGGAACAGGAGGTGAGTGAGAAGAAAGGAGAGGAGGGTGGAGATGATGATGATGATGAGGAGGAGGAAGGAGGAGTCCCTGAAGGGCCGGAGACTGGTTCAACTCCTATAATTACTGCTTCGCGCCTTATTAACACACATTTGCGCATGCGTGCATGTTCTAAAACACGTTTCATGCAGAGATAAAAGCAAATTAACACGCTTCTATAGGGGAATTTTATCTAATTGAATTTATTCTGGAACAAGATGCTTGGCTTTCCTGACATGAATGCAGAAATTCTCTTTCCTCCTGCTATTACACTGAAAAAAAAAACATGCAACCTCTTCTTCTTCTTGCATTTAATCAATCATCTTTATTTACTTTAACGCATTGCAGAAAGTAGTATACTTGAAGTAAATTCTATTAAGAATGCTTAAGTATAAGTATAAGTTTAGATAGTATACCAAACAATGCACTTTTAGTGTACTTGAAGTATTACTAAAATAATACTTATTCGAACTAAATTGGGACATTTTTAAGTTTACTAAAGTATACTTAAAGTATACTTTAGTAAACAATAAAGTAAACAATAGTATAGTCAAGTACACTTGACTATACTATTTTTAAGTATATGTAATATAGGCCTAGTTTAGAATAAGTAAACTCTAAGTGCAATGCCTGATTTTAAGTATGAAATTAGTTAACTTTAGGTATACCTGAATAAACTGCTTTTTGCAGAGGGAATTGTTTTATGTCCCACCCTGGTAACATGAAACAAATATGTCAAAGTAATTAAATGTGATTAAATAAATGCCAAAAATGGTTGCATTATTTTGTAACAGCAGTCCTGGTGTGCATGCAACCAAAAGCCTCCCCCTCCATATTCTGCTGCCTGCAGCTCACCTTAGCAGGGAGGTGGGCTGTCCATATTCAAAACAATGCAGGTGCATTTCAGTGATGTGATTTAATTCAAAAATAGTCAATTGGTTATATACAGGTCATTCTCAAAATATTAGCATATTGTGATAAAGTTCATTATTTTCCATAATGTCATGATAAAACTTGAACATTCATATATTTTAGATTCATTGTACACTAACTGAAATATCATGAAAAAGAACAAATTAACTCTAAACACCTGCAAAAGATTCCTGAGGCCTTTAAAACTCCCAGCCTGGTTTATCACTCAAAACCCCAATCATGGGTAAGACTGCCGACCTGACTGCTGTCCAGAAGGCCATCATTGACACCCTGAAGCAAGATGGTATGACACAGAAAGCTATTTATAAACCAATGGGCTGCTCCCAGAGTGCTGCATCAAGGCACCTCAGTGGGAAGTCTGCGGGAAGGAAAAAGTGTGGCACAAAACGCTGCACAACGAGAAGAGGTGACCGGACCCTGAGGAAGATTCTGGAGAAAGGTCGATTCCAGACCTGGGGAGACCTGTGGAAGCAGTAGACTTAGTCTGGAGTAGAAAAATCCAGAGCCACCGTGCACAGGTGTGTGCAGGTAATGGGCTACAGGTGCTGTACTCCCCAGGTCAAGCCACTTTTGAACCAGAAACAGCAGCAGAGGTGCCTGAACTGGGCTACAGACAAGCAGCACTGGACTGTTGCTCAGCTTTGCATGTCATTTGGAAATCAAGGTGCCAGAGTCTGGAGGAAAACTGGGGAGAAGGAAATGCTAGAAGTCCAGTGTCAAGTACCCACAGTCAGTGATGGTCTGGGGTGCCAAGTCAGCTGCTGGTGTTGGTCCACTGTGTTTTATCAAGGGAAGGGTCAATGCAGCTATCAGGGGATTTTGGAGCACTTCATGCTTCCATCTGCTGAAAAGCTAAATGGATATGAAGATTTCATTTTTCATCACGACCTGGCACCTGCTCACAGTGCCAAAACCACTGCTAAATGGTTTACTGACCATGGTATCACTGTGCTCAACACTGTGGATCCAGCTATAGGCCACTATGGAAGCATCCTGGGCCTCCATAACACCTCAGCAGTGCCACAGGCTGATTGCCTCCATGCCACGCCGCACTGAAGCAGTCATTTCTGCAAAAGGATTCCCGACCAAGTATTGAGTGCATAACGGTACATAATCATTTGAAGGTTTACTTTTTTGTATTAAGAACACTTTTCTTTTATTTGTCGGATGAAATATGCTAATTTTGTGAGATAGAAATTTTGGGTTTTCATGAGCTGTATGCCAAAATCATCCGTATTAAGACAATAAAAGAACTGATCAGTTAGTGTGCAATGAATCTAAAATATATAAATGTTTAAGTTTTATCATTACATTATGGAAAATAATGAACTTTATCACAGTATGCTAATATTTTGAGAAGGACCTGTAGATGTAACCATTACGCTGTACCAACAAACATTAATAGAGAAATGTTAGCTTACTGTAGAACTATCCATTTACTTTATGGTTCAAGGACTAATGCAACATGGGATGAAGATCATCATCCGGATGAAGAGTGGCTCTCATCCTCAGTGGCGGTTCTAGACCATATCTAACTGGGGGCAAGATGGAGCCATTTTTTTTTTTTTTTTTTATAGGGGCACTAAACAAAGAAAATGAAACAAAACACACACACACACACAAAATAAACACAGGGCAATAGTTCATTGTTAGAAACTAATGAGTGAGCAAAAGAACCACCTGCACCAATGGATAATAAGATTTAGCAGCTAAAAATGTTAAGCCTGTCTGCATATAACAGAAACTAAAAGTGGAACAACTTAAATGTATCATTATTAAAATGAAAACGTATAAGTAAATATATATATGAATAATGAAATAATTCTGAGGAACAAAACAATTATGGTTTGCTTGCCAGTGCATATTTTAATTACACACTTGTTTTGTATCATGTTAGGGGCCATCTTGAACCGCCCTTGCTAATCTTCTTCTTAGTGATAACCTATGGGGTTTAGGTCAGGGGACGGTAAAGAGATTCAAGTCTTTTTGTAAAACTCACAAACATGAAATGCTCTAAAATGTGCATTATTTGATAGAAGACTCAACATCAGATGGAAACTTGGCTCCCAATTAATCACTATGGTAACAAACCAGATAATCATGTTGGACTGTTTTTCACCTATTCTTCTAAATTTACCTTTAGCCTATGATTTGGAAACTTCCCGAGTCAGAATGGTGGATCTCAAAGCACCAATCACAGCAACAATCCGATTATGCATCCCTTTGTAACATTTTAATTGAGCCCTAAACTATCCTTGAGGCTGCTCTTACCACTGCCATGTACTTTTCAAACACTCTTTTCACTGAACTTTCCATTAAAACACTGAGCAGTCAGCCTCCTTATTATTTTCATAACTGCTTACCATTTGCTCTGACAGTTTAGGCCATAAATAAATCCCTTTCTAATTTTCCCTTGATTGGTCTAATGCAACTGTCTAATTTTTCTGTGCAAGGAAGGGTTCAGTAATCAAAATCAGGGAAATGTAAAATAAACACACAAGAATCACTTGAACAGAATAAATAAGCAGTGGTTTTCTACATTACTGAAATGTCTGTCATTTTTACCCTGTGCCATACTGACTGAGAAGGAATTTAAAAAGGACTCCCGATTGAATAAAATAAGACTGCAGTACCAAAAGAATACACTAGATGTCGATGCTGAGCCTCCCCGTAAGTGAAGCAGACTGTCCCCTCGATCTTATTGTCTTTATTTCTTTTTCTTTAAAACAGAAAATGATCGCTTTACAACAGGCCTTTCCAAACAACCCCTCTCACATCAAGCTTGCCAACACCTACAAAACGGTATCAAAAGTGCACCATAGTGTTAATACATCTTCTCCAAGTCTAACGTTTTCCAATGATAATATCTTAATGAAATATTTATACAAATACCATTCTGTACACTAAAATACACAGTCTATTGCACCCTGTTAATGGGGCACCCATCTCCTGTCCATCCTCTGTTACATCCATGGCCAAAGAAAAAAATTAAAAGAAAAAAAACAACTTCCGTCACAGTTTAGGTTAACAATGTGGGAGGTGAAGACTCCAGGCCGATATTACATCTTATGAATTAAATACCCACTCATCCCACACCCGAGGCAAAAACTAGAACAGCACTCATACAGCCAGTCAATATCTATACAACCCTCAGTCCTTTAAAAACAATCTTGACACAATTTGATTTATCGTCCCTCTCAGTCCTGGCAGCAGCAGCGGCGGATGATGGAGGGGGCGGGAAGGACATGGAAACCGTCAGAGTCAGCTGGTAAGTAGAGGGAACGACCACGGCCGAGCTGCGTAAAAGCACAGTTATGAGTTACAGCTGTGCAGGCAGGTATGACGCCGTGCGAGATTACAATCTGCTGCTTCCCCCACAGAGTTAGAGGACAGAGTCTCTCTGGGAAAATGTGGCAAAGCGCTCAGCTCCCCATTTAGTCTCTGGACTGGTAAAAGAGGATGTAGCCCGACTCTGAGTTCTTGGAGATTTCAGAGGTGAGACCGTAGAATTCCTCTATAGCCTGGGCGTCGATTTTCTAGGAGGAGAAACAAAAGACAATCGACTCGGGTAGTGTGAAGAAAAAAGGACGAATAAACAAATACTTCCTGAAATTGTTTAAAGACAAAACAACAACTGCTTACCTCTACAATATCATCATCAAAGAGCAACCAGAAGTCATGACTTTTTACAATGGCGATATAGTGACCCCTGTTTGGACCGCTGAAAACAAACAGAAACATTTCTTTTAAGACGACAAAGTTACAAATTAGTTTCATACATTTCCAAACTTATTTTCCTTATTTTATATACATAACTATTACAATGCAAGGTGTTGAAAATAAATTACACATCAGTAACTATTTTTTGTCTTTTTAGCATATTTTTAAGATCTTCTGTATATTTCAATTCATAATTTAAAACTTCATCATAAAAATAGTTTTATTGAGCCAGGCTTTTTTCTTTTTTCCCTCCAGCTCCTTCCATATTACCGTATCAGTTTGGATGATGTTGATATCTGCCTTTCATGCACCTTAAAGTATTTATATCTATCCCTCTATCTAATCCCATTTATATGCAGATGGATGT